GTGAAATGTAAAGGTACACGGGTCTCTGTCTTCATTGGTAACATCTGTACTTGGAAAATTATTTGAAAGGTTGTTAAAGGACAATATTCAAGTACTTTTAAACAATATCATTAGTGGTAATAAGTAAAAAAAAAATAAAAAAAATTTAAGACAAATAATGGCAACCTTATTTAATTGCATTCTATGAAGAAATGTGCAGAAATATAGGTCAGAGTGTTGCTGTCAATGTGATCTGCAAGGATTTGTTGCAAAGGCATTTGACATAGTTTCAACCCCCCAAAAAATTATTGTACAAACTGGAAGCACAGACTAAATAAACAAAGGTGCTCCATACTTAAAAGTGGCATTTGTCCCGTCTCCCTTTTGTGTTAAAACATCCCCACACAGTCATGTCCGGGTCAGTAGATTTGCTTCAGGTGGCGTTTTGCTTTATGACGTAGTCAATGCCTCCCTTCCTCTCGGACATGTGGGCATCGCCACTAAATATAGAGTACAACTTGGCGGATCCGGCTTCTGGGGCGTTTATTTTTCATTTAGGATATGGCCCTCCTTTCAGGACGTGTCCATTTTGGATTGGGCAATTATATACGTCTCCGGGACATATGTCAAACATTCATTGGGCCACATACACATGACTAATTGGTACGCCGCTTTTAAATTGATTCCCTTAATGTCTTATGCCCCTGACAAAGGTATAACTCTACACTGCAAAACCAGTTCAGCTTCACCCCTTCTATTGTTTAACTTTCACAATGGGCTATACGATAGGAAGCACTTAATTGTTTTTTTGCTAATATTCTTTTCAAATGGTTTTTATTAGGTATTAATATTATAATACAATAAAAATGACAATAATGAAATGAACAATAATAACAAATTGGGAAGGGGAAATTTGGGGAAGTATCCATCAGAATTTACAATATTTATGTGTAATATTCATATGTCTATATTTATTGATGATAATAAAATAATTATAATATATCTATGTAAAACTAATAAAACAAGATTTTACTACTAATAACTTAGTTTGAATATCTTGAATTATAAATAAGATTTTTAAAACTTTTTTTTCCCACTCAGTCCAGAAATAATGAAGCTGATCCCATAATAAAGATGGCTGTCTAATAGCTATCTCATACGATTTGTTTTCTAATACTAAGTTTAGTACATCAACTATAGAGGGTATAGCAGGGGATTTCCAATATCTGAGTAAGTAGGATGTGGCGACTGTAAGAACGTCCTATGTTTACTCTGTCTACTTTATTAACAGATTCTCAAAACCCGAGTTCCGATGTAAAGGTGGTAATATTTGGGTCAACAGTTTTAATAAGTTTATCAATATCACTCCAGAATCTAGTGAGTTTAGGGCAATACCACCAAATGTGTGACATGGTACACATCTCATCACACTCCCTCCAATATCTGTCTTAGACTTTAGGATTTATTTTGTGATGGTGTGATGGAGCCAGATACCAACAATAGAGAATTTTTAAATAATTCTTATGATGACAAGCACACTGTGTGATACCTCTCAAGGCGAGAATAAAACTTATCCAATCCTCCAGTTCATATTGAACTCCCAAATCTCTTTCCCATGATTCCTAAAAGATAATTTAGATGTGAGCCTAGGAGAAATATGGGAATAACAAAATTAGATTATGCCCTTACGATTTGGATTGAGGAGATACATTTTTTTTTTAAATTTGACATTTTTAATGATTTATCTCCTTTACTCAATTCTAATATTTAAAAATATATATATATTTAGAATCGTCCAAATTTAATTTTTTTTAAAAAAAAATGTTTAAATGTTAAAAGGGAATTCCCTAAAAAGAAATTATCCAAATTATATATAGAATTGGAGTTTCAAAAAATTAGATCTAGAGGATGAAAGTAATAATTTAGAACTGATAACTGCATTGCTCGTGATAAACTAGAGGATGGTCTAACACTAATAAAAAGAATATCCCATGCCTTGAGGGTATTCTTGGTTGAAGGAAACATGCTTAGCCTTAGGGCATCTATTTAAAGGCAACCATAACCGTTCTTTAATAGAATATGGTTGAATATTTTCTGTTTCCGTATCTAGCCACCTCAGTCTGTTATGATCCATGTTAAGTTCAAAAGCAGGAGCTGCATTAGCAGCATTATACTACTTCCTAAAATCTGGGACACCAAGACCAACGTCCACCTTTAAATGTGGCATAGTTATCAACGTAATCCTACTTTGTTTATTATTCCAGATGTATTTAATCAATGTTGAGTGTATCTTGTTAAAAAGGGACAATGGAATGGACAAAGAAATTGTTCTAAGGTAGTATATCTTTGGTAGAATAGTCATCTTAATAGATGTCAATTTGCCCATCAATGAGAACTCCATATCGCACCACCTTTCCATCTCTTTTTGTAAGCCAGCCCATGCATTATTTAAAATTTTTGGTCATGCATTTTAGACACAGTTTTGCATACATTTATGCCTAAATATTCAATATATGAATCTCTCCATTCAAAAAGATAGTCTTCTTTCAGTTTATCCATATAAAACCATGGAATATTAAATGGGAGTGCTTGGGTTTTATGAGTATGGAGTTTGTAATATGACATTTCTCCAAACTATTTTAAGATAATATTAAGGGGTGTTATGGATTTCATTGGCTTCTTTGACAGTATGATGTTATCTGCAAATAGTCCTATCTTATGGCTTGTATCGTCACCAATTTTAATGCCTTAAATTTCCAGTGTTTTCCTAATTATTTCTGCTAGGGGTTCCATGACCAAGACAAATAACAATGGGGATATTGGACACCTCTGCCTTGGCCAATTTGTCAAAGGAAAGCTATCAGATAGGAAACCAGATGCAGAGACCTTTGCTGTGGGATGACCATACAAAGCAAATACAGCTGAAATAAACGGTGTAGGGATATAAAGTTTTTCCATAACAGTTCTCAAATAGCCCCAGTGTTGAACGCCTTCTCTGCATCTAAAGAAAGGAGCAGAGAAGGAACACGTGACTCTTTATTTGATGTATTAAGTTGATAAATTGCCTGGTTGCATCTGGGGCTTGTCTACCATTTACAAATTCAACTTGGTCTCTATCGATCAGAAAGGGGATTATCTTTGCTAATCTATTAGCCAGAATCTTGGCATATAATTTGGTGTCATTGTTAATCAACGAAATTGGCCTGAAATTCGTACATTTGTCTGAACTCTTACCTAGCTTTGGTAGGTTGACTATCTATGCACACAAAGCCTCCTCTGGCATCTTTCCCTCACACCAGAATGTATTAAGCAATCTAGTTAAATGTGGGGCTAGTATATTAGAATAAGTTTTGTAGTACGCCATTGTAAACCCACTAATATTCTGTCCTGCATTCCTACTAATTATTTCTCTGTGGGCATTCGTAGGCATACTCTGTCCTAGTGTGTGCGAGGTAGTTTAATGGCTAACATTTAGCTGTCCTGTTCTTGCAGATGACACAAAACTAAGTAAGGTATTGCAGTTTAAAGGGACACAAACAAAACTAAGCAACTTTAGCTTAATTAAGCCGTTTTGGCATATAGATCATGCACCTGCAGTCTCATTGATCAATTCTCTGACATTTAGGAGTTAAATTACTTTCCTTTTACAGCCCTAGGCACACCTCCCTGCATGTGACTTACACAACCTTCCTAAACACTTCCTATAAAGATTAATGTAATGTTTATCCTTTCTTAATTGCAAATTCTGTTTAATTTGGAATTTTTCATTTCGTGCTGTTAGTAGCTTTCTAGACCCTGCAGGAGCCTCCTGTATGTAATCGAAGTTCAATCTACAGAGCACGAGAAACACTTTTAAAGTAAGTTTCATCTGCTTGAAAATGAAACCATTTCTGTATGCAGACTGTGTCAGTCACAGCCAGGGGAGGTATGGTTAGTGCTGCATAAACAGAAACAAAAGTGATTTAACTCCTAAATGTCAGAGAATTGAGCAGTGAAACTTCAGAAGCATGATCTATGCACCAAAACTGCTTCATTAATCCCTTAAGGACCAAACTTCTGGAATAAAAGGGAATCATGACATGTCACACATGTCATTTGTCCTTAAGGGGCTAAAGGAGCACTATTTACCACTACAACGTCTTAAAGCATAGAACTTAGCAGGGCTAACCACACAGATATCTTAGCCATAATTTTTTTATAGTCCGTAAGAGGTCCTCTACTTAAAATATATAAATAATTGAGAATACCATATAAAATAAGGATTGTCTTTGAAGCAATAAAGTTTTGTCTTTTAGATATTTTATTAAATAAAAATATAAATGTAGACATATAAAATCCATTACAATAACTTATAGCAGACTTTATAAGATTAAACTATATGCTTGCAATATCATTAATAGAATAACATACCCTCCTGAACATATCATCATGTCAGCCTTTTTCATAATAAGATGGAGCAGCGTCTGTCCCCAAATCTCTCCTCTCTGTGTTAACATTTAAAAGGTACACATATTTATACCTTAGGTGTCTTCATTTTAGGGTTACTGTAGTTCATATATGAAAAAGTAACATTTCTTTTGTTTTTGTTCATTCTAGAGACCTCCCTTAACTTGGCAATAACACAAGGCCATAACTAAAACGTAAGGGTGCTCACGTCATGGAAAATTCCCTGACTTAGGAGAAGATGGTATCTTAAAGTCTGAACATCTCTGTCTATTTAGGGTTACCGCAGTATATTATGTACTGAAAGAGTCGTGGCATAGCCTTGAAGCTTGTTTATGCATTATTATTATTGTATTTTGTCTGGGACAAAATGGCGTAAACATATGATGCACTGAAAGTAGGTAAAAGGTTATTGCTTAAAGAAACATTATATGAAAAACAATATGTTCCATTTCTAATACCTTGTCAGTTTGCAGTATCTCTTAAAGGCAAAGTACACAGTTTGAGAAATACAATATTTGCATTTGTCCATAACACCCTCTCCATTAAACTGTGGGCTTTGTAGAGAATTTCTTCCTTAAATTAGTAAACCAAAGTTCTCCAACAGTCTTTAGGTTTTTATGTTCCCATCGTCTTTGATCATTGTTGTAACGGTAAAACATCCGTAGTGTGATCTTTGCATGTAGAGGTGATTGTTAAAATGAGCAAAGCTTTTCTCGGGGAAAGAATTTAAAAGAACATCAGGTTCCAGAGTAAGATATTCTTGGATGGAACCTGATAGGAATTGTAATCCAAAGTTTTTGAAGGCCTGTAGAAGTTTACATTCCTTAGATACATTACTGGAAGTTGTGTTTGTAGAATACCCGGGTATTAGTTGTATAGTATTGGTTGTAGAGTCCAGCTATCAAAATATTTGGCTAGAATTGGTTGCAGATATTCTATCAGCATCATCTGTTATCACTGTGGTGATGGTGTTGGTATTTGGTCACAGTTTGAGAAATACAATATTTGCATTTGCCCACAACAAGGGTTATTATGTCCCACCCTTGCCCTGTGGTCACCCTCCCACTGGGTTGAAGGGGTTAAAACCACTTCAGCCAATTACCTTAATCAAACGCCAGGCTTCCTTGGCGCTAGTGACCTTTAATGACCCTGCCAACGTCCGCTCCCAACGCCAGAGCCTCAGACCCATTCAAAACGCCCATAGTAAAGCATCCAATGGGCATCTGAACTCGCGCTGCATGAGTTCAATGCAATTTTCACACTGAGAATCGCAAAAGCGGCCTCTAGTGGATGTCAGGGAGACAGTCACTAGAGGCTGAATTAACCCTGCAATTTCTCTGAAACTGCTATGTTTTCAGCTGCAGGGTTAAAACTAGAGATGTTGCGAACCGTCCGTGAACTTCTCGCGAACGGTTCGCCACGAACCGTTCGCGGCAAACTCCGGTCAGCTGACACATCCCGGCCAATCTCCGGCAGACCCTCCCTCCCAGACCCTCCTACTTCCTGGACAGCATCCATGTTGAAGGCAGCTTTAGTTAAAAAAAAAAAAGGGGGGGGACCTGGCAACCAGACTACTTATAGAGCTGAAGTGGTCTGGGTGCCTATAGTGGTCCTTTTAAGTTAGTTGTTTTGATGAATCCAGTGTCCCTTTTAAATAGGAATTATATTTCTCTAGAGAGAGATTTAATGGATTAGAGGGCTGGGTAGGAGAGTTGCAATTATAGACTACAGTCTGGAAAACCGCATACAATGTCAGTCTGCCATTGAAGAGGCCAATAAGTTACACCCATGCATAAAATGGGGTATTCATTTACAGGATAAAAATATAATTATAAATCTTTAAAAATCAATGATAAGACTCTATTTTGAATGTGCAGTGCAAATCTGACTGCCAGTTTTGAAGAAGAATAATATAATCTATTGTTACAAAGCTGGAACAAATGCAATGTCAGGCTACAAAATTCATAAAAAGAATCAAACCATTCCGTTTTGAAGAAAGGCTAGACAAACTGCATGTTTTCTTCTACTCAGGGCCAGTACAAATACATATCTAGTAACTAGTTAATTATCAGGAACATACAATAGACAAGGTCATCTATTGAGACTTGAAGAAAGATGATTTCGCCCCCAGCAGATAAAAGGGTTCTATTACAGTAAAAACCTTAAAAACTGTTAGTATATATTTTTTAAAGACCTGAATGTTATTTTGTTTTTAAAAAATGAATAAATAAATGATTAAAATATATCATTAAAATGCATAGGAACATTTTGTAGAGATTGTAGAGATATCGGATTGTGCGTTTTGAGTGAGGAAGGGTTTTCTCACTTTTTGTGGCTCATTGGACAATCACGATAAAAAAAAAAAATATCAGTCTTTTAGATCAATAGGCATAAAATAATGTGTGAGAGATTCAACTCTGTGGACTTGAGTATTTTTTTTAACCTTTTTTTTTTTTTACTTTTTAGATATTCTGTTCTCTACTCCATTTTCACTAGTGAATAACCAATACCAATTAAAACTCCATGTATTTTTTCTTAAGATGTCTCCAAAAGGGTACATATATTTATATGCTGAGAACTAATCTGGGGCAAAGTAAATGTAAAATTCAAAATAAAGGCTCCTACAAAACGCTTTCCAATATTCTTTAAATATCTGACCCTATTATCACAATCTGCACTCTGATCATGTGATTTACTATAGTTCTTCAAATAGAAGCTGACATTTTTTTTTAGTTGTGAATTATTTTCTTTCTCTTAATTTTCTCATGTTTCTTCTTTGTCAAAACCACACAGGAACTGCACAAATGTTGCAGATATGACTGTATTGACTACAATTCTCATGTCAATGTGTCAACTCTCTTTGCAGTAACCTCTCCCTCCCCTATCCATGATACTGAGTAATACAATTCTAGGATTTTACTATTAACATGACGTAAAGTCATGATTTTTTTAATGACACGGAGGCGAGTATTATGCTTCTCTTTCTTTAATTTTCCCTCAGCAGTGAAGAGAGAAAATGTATGTAAAAGAGAAAATAGCATATCATTAAGATATATACATATTCAACAGTGCTACTAATCAGTAACCACCCCTTCAGTATATAAGGTGCAGCACTCTCTTCCTCTTCCTCTTTCTGTAGCGATCAGAAGACCAGCCAATAACCGAACGAAACTCTGAACCGGAACTGTAACATCGGAAAGCAGTCGTACATCCCTTCCTAGGGGAAAACGGTAAAGCCGTCCTTTAAACCTTTTCAATCACTCCGACATGGGAATTCAGGCTAAAAGAGAGGAGAAATATGGTAAAATCTCGATTGACAACTGGTGGTAACATACTCCAGCATATATATCGTTATCTAGATCTGGAGAAAAATCATCATCATAACACCCTGACATGAAATAACATACAACTCAGCGTGATAATCTAGTCTAGACATTCAAATCCGATAATAAAGGCAGGGGAAACCCGCCCTGTATGGTATGAGGGTAGGTGTCGACTCAATCTAATCCTGCCCGGTGTGCAAATTCCAGCAACTCCAACCCAGGGAGGGTGGGAGGGAATAATACTCGCCTCCGTGTCATTATTAAAATCATGACTTTACGTCATGTTAATAGTAAAATCCTAGAATTTTATTAAAGACACGGAGGCTCCTATTATGCTATTTCAAAGCTGAGCTATAATCTTATCAGAAAAATGTTGTATAGGTCTAAAGTAAAAGTTCCGGAATTTGGATTCCGTAGACCAATCTACAGCCTTCAAAATGTCTTCCAAGCGACATCCAGTCGCCGATGCTTTAGAGGCCATAGCGCCCCTGATGAAGTGGGATGAGAACACCGAGACATCGATCCCGACCGCAGCCAATAACCATTTGATCCAACGTGCGAGTGTTGGAGTAGATAATGGTAGATGTGGTTTCTCCAGTGAGATGAACAGAGGTCCGTCATTAGATGGCCGTAGAGTAGAAGTGCGAGATTCGTATTCTTTTAGGCACAATATCGGGCATAGATTGGGTAAACTCTCGGGTATTGAGATTCTCGGGTAAAAAAACATGTTTAGTTGCTGATTTTGATTTCGAATGACACTCCCTCCGGAATGAACATGCGGGCCTGCCAATCCAAAGCTCTTACGTCTGACACTCGCTTACAGGATAATAGACAAAACAGCATAAGCAATTTTGCCTATAATTGTTTAAAGGACAACTCTAAGTTAGAGGGCCATCCATCTAGGAGCCTAAACACGGAGTTGACATCCCAGAAGGATCCATATCTGGATGTAGGAGGACGTGAGAAGTGGACACCCTTAAGTAGACGACAGACTAAGGGGTTCTGTCCGAGTGGGAGTCCATCCACGTGATCATGGCCAGCCGAGATAGGAGAACGGAATAAGTTGACGGTGCGAAAGGCTTTGCCTGATTCGAACAGATGTGTCAGGAAGTCCAACACCGATTTCACAGGGGCTGATACAGGATCCAACGATCGTTCCAAGCACCAATTGGCCCACTGTATCCAGGCCGCAGCATATGCATGTCGTGTTCCAGGCGCCCATGCGTTTGCCAGGAGTTGCATAGTTGTGCTCGAAACCTCTGTGATTTCCCAGGGTCCCCGGAAAGGAGCCACGCCATGAGATGAAGGAGATCTTGTTCTATCAGGGTGTGACTCTCCCCGTCTGGATTGGTTAGCAGAGATGGGTGATATGGTAGTAATCGTGGATGATCGATCGCCATTTCCAATAGGTGTGGAAACCAAGGCTGGGACCTCCAACATGGGGTTACCAGGACCATCAAGCTCTTGAAGCGTCGGAGATATGCCAGACAACGAGTGATCAGATTGAATGTCGGGAAGGCATATGCCCTGCCTCTGGTCCAATCTTGGAGGAATGCGTCGGTCGTCACGGCTTCCGGGTCCGGTCGCCAACTGAAGAACTGTGGCAGTTGCATGTTTAGTCTGGACACAAACAGGTCCACACTCAAAGGTCCCCATAAGTGTGTGATCTTGTGGAACACACTAGGTTGAAGTCTCCAATCTCCCGAGTCCTTCAGGTAGCATGAGTTCCAATCCGCGGTGTAATTGTCCAGGCCTGGAATGTGTTCCGCGGTAACTGACACATTGTTCTGTAAACAGTAATGCCAGAAGTCTCGAGCCAAAACTGCTAAGATGCGAGACTTGGTGCCCCCTAGATGGTTTATGTACCGTACAGCTGAGACATTGTCCAGTTTGAGTAGGATGAGAGACTGCGAATGGCGAACAAGGCTGCTAGCAGTTCCAGAGAGTTTATGTGTAAGAACGACTCGTCCGTGGACCATCTGTCTCCTGTGGATATGGAGCCGCAGTGCGCGCCCCAGCTATGTAAGCTGGCGTCCGACTCTATCACCAGGTCCGAAGTGGAACCGAAGATTGCTAGTCCGTTCCATGCTTCCATGTGGGTCAACCACCAGTTCAGTTCCTCCCTGGATTCCACGTCCAGAGTGACGTGGGACTCGTATGAGTGGCCACTTCGTAAGCAGGTCGCTTTCAGGCTCTGCAACGCCCGGTAGTGGAGCGGACCCGGAAAGATCGCCTGGATGGAGGCCGCCAACAGGCCAATGACCCGTGCCAGTTGGCGTAAGGAGATGTCTGGCCGGTGCATAAGTCGTCTTATCTCCTTCTTGATGTTGGACATCTTTTCTGCCGGGAGGCATAGAATCTGTCGAACGGAGTTGACTCGGAATCCCAAGAATTCCATTTGTTGTGAAGGTATGAGAACCGATTTCTTCCAGTTCACTAGGAAGCCCAGGTTCTGGATGCAGGGTCCACTTTAAATGAACTAGCAGTAGGAACCGTGTCCCGGAGAGCAGGAGGATATCGTCTAAATAAATGATAAGACGGACCCCGTGTAGTCTAAGAAAGGCCACCACTGGTTTGAGTATCTTTGTGAAGCACCAGGGGGCAGAGGACAGACCGAAGGGAAGGCATGTGAACCGCCATTTCTTTGTTCCCCAACGGAACTGAAGCAGATCTCTGTGTACTTCCGCTATCGGGACTGTCAGGTATGCGTCCTGCAAGTCTAGTTTGACCATCCAGTCTCCGGGAAGGAGTAGGTCTCTGAGGCAATGTATACCCTCCATCTTGAAGTGCCGGTATTGGACGAAGGCATTTAAGGGTCGTAGGTTTATAACCGGGCTAACGCCTCCTCCCTTTTTCGGCACTAAAAACAGGTTGCTCACGAAACCTGGAGTATCTAGAGGGATTTCCTCTATAGCGTTCTTGGCCTGCAATTCTCTGATCTCCGCAGAGATGAGGTCGTGGTGTGATTTTCATATGTGGATTGCCCTCGGGGGAGTGCCGTGAATGGGAAAGGCCGTCAGTTCTAGATGGTAACCCTCTATAGTCTGTAACACCCAACTGTCGGACGTGATCATAGCCCAAGCCCGAGAGAACAGGGCCAGTCTGCCCCCCACATTTATATGGGAAAAATGGAGAAAAAGGGTACTCACCATAAGGGCGTTTTCCCGTGGATGCTCCTCAACCACCGCGGGCATGCCAAGGTTGTCCTCGTGAAGGGAAAAACGGGGTGTAGGACCGTTCCTGATTCGGTCTCTGGGGGTTGAAGGAGCCTCTGCCCGGTCTGGAAAAACCCCGGGGGTTGTGGCCAGATAGACAGCTCCTACCTCTACCGGCCCCGCCAAAAACCTTTAGGTTAAACACCCGCTTGATGGAAGATTGGGCTTTGTCCAAAGCTGTAAAGGTCTTTACATAGGAGCCCAGGTCCTTCACGAAGGACTCTCCAAACAGTAAGCCTTTTGCTGAGGCACCAGGTTCATTGGAGGCCATGCTCGCTAGCTTGGGCTCTATCTTTAGCAGGATGGCCTTCCTGCGTTCGGTAGACATTGCCGTGTTGGCGTTACTGATCATGCATACTAGGCATTGGAGCCATCCTAATGCCACCTCAAAATCAAGTTGTGCCTCACCCGACTGAGCTGTTTCAAGCAGTTCGTACAGCTTGATGACCGGGCCCAGAGTGTCTAGGAACTTGTCCTGACAGTTGCGTAGTGAGTAATCTAGGCCCTTCTTGGGCTTCCAACCGGTCTTGGCCAAAAACTGGACAATTTGCGGGTCAACTTCAGGGGTTTTTGCCACTGCATCAGGTATGATGGGTCGGGGGCATTCCGCTCTGTTTATTACGACCCTCTTGGGAGAGGGATTTGCGGACTCTGAGAGCCAGGTATTGAGCGATGTGCTCAGAGGGCTCCCATTCAGCGGAGCGAGGGTGTCTGAGATTGTCCGGATCAAATGCAAGGGTATCTGCCTAAGGGCTTGGAAGATGGATTGTGAGATGCTGGAGGACATAGCCCCCATGGCAGAGGAAATGGCCTTACTGATAGAATTGGACATAGTGGCGTCCAGGAGGCTCTGAAATTCTTCTGAGCCTATGAGGTTAGGGTCAGCCTGGGAATCAGAGCCAGGGGTAGCCCTAGGGGGGGTAGGGTGGCCAGGTAAGTCCCCACCAGCAGACTGCATGATAGCAGAAGTGAAAGTAGGCAAATAGTATGTATATAATTATAAGGAAGGTGCTGGATTGCTTAATCCAAGCACAGAGTAGAATAGTAGAGACAAAGTAACCGGGTCCTGTGTGATTAGCAGGAGCAGCGTCGAGTGCAGCCTCCACAGAACCCAAAAACCGCAGCACAAGTGAATTAAAATGGCCGCCACACAGGGCAGCGACGGAAACCAAAAAGATGGCCGCTGCGAGTGCTGCGCGCATGCGCGGAGCGTGCGCAACGAAAGTGAAAGTAAAAGTAACTACCGGGCGGTAATGCCGGCAGGGACCCAGAGGGAGCCGGGAACGGGTCGAGGAGGGGGGGGGGAACTCGGGACGGTTCCCGGTTGTTAGGGGGGAGGGAGCCAGAGCGACCCAACTATAAAGGGGAACAAAGTAAACCCTGAACACACTCCAGGACCCAGGGGAAAGAAACAGTAGTAAGAAGAAATACAGTATAAAGATAAAATCTATGGTACTGCAAAAGAGAACTCAAGTATTGGGAGATAAACAGAAACCCTTAATAGAATAGGGGTAACATCTGCAATCCCACAGTAATTATTACAACAAGCAAGAGAATAAAATGTACTTAGCTGGTCTGAGGGAGCAGCGAAGAAAGAGGAAGAGGAGAGTGCTACACCTTATATACTGAAGGGGGGTGGTTACTGATTAGTAGCATTGTTGAATATGTATATATGTTAATGATATGCTATTTTCTCTTTTACATACATTTTTTCTCTTCGCTGCTGAGGGAGAATTAAAGAAAGAGAAGCATAATACTTGCCTCCGTGTCTTTAATAAAATCTGTTTTTACTGTTTCATATCTCTTTCTTCACTTTACATTTGAAGATACATACATTGCTCTGAAGACATTGAAACTGACACCGTGGAAACACCATTTAATGGTTTACAAAACTGAGTGTGCAAACCAATGCTTACTATAGTAGGCATTTGTTCACTGCATGTACCCTCTCAATCAGCACAGGTAAAGCAATGGAAGGAAGCCATTGACAAATATGTGTCGAGCCATGGGAATGCTGGAAAGTGGGGCAGGGGTGGCAGCTTCTATGGATTCAAATAGGAGGTGCATTGAGATGTCTGCTAGCAGAGTGCTGCAGGAATCAGGCAGTAGGAAGGAATTGTGCTTTATCCCCATATAGCATGTGCAGCTTAGTGGAAAGGAGCCTTGACAGGGCTAGGAGATGGGTTTAGGTGGCGTTAGTTGTTGATAGGGTAATGGTAGTTGGGGGTGGGTTTAGTATAAATAGAGAAACCATTTTAAATCCTGTCACTGATAATTTTGCTTACCTGACTGGGTTTGTCCCACCTTCCCTCCACTGGGTTGGTAACCTCAGTGTTTGTCCTGTTCTGTCACAGCAGCAGGGCTAGTGATAGAATTATTAAGGGGGCAAAGGGTCGCTTTAGTTCAAAAAGACAGGATAGTTAATCTGGTTAGGAAGGTGGTTTAATACTGTTTGGATCAAATTTGGTAGGTTTTCGAGCTTGTCGGTGGCTCAGAACCTGGTGGGTGTTAGGGGTATTCGGATGTACCCCTACCATGGTTATTTAAAGAAAATGTTGGCACTTTACTTATTATTGGTTATGCTGTTATTTGTTTGTGATATTGTTAATGTTTATTGTTTACAATTATGGGTCATTGCCTTTTATGACATAAGTAATGTGCTATGGTAGGCTGGGGTGACGCAATTACTTTATTATTTATGTTTGTTTTAAAATTTTAAAGCTGTGGGCATATTTGACCCATACTCTAGTATTGTCTGTGTTTATTGGGTTAGGGGTCAATGTGGGTTTTGAATTCCACCTGCCCCCATATGGCGACGATTCACCTGTCATAGCTATGCCTGCAACTTTCACAGATGCAGTAGGTAGAAGCTGATAAGGCACAGTGTTACTGCACAAGTGCACCCTTCCTACATTGAATGTGGCAGTAGTAGTGTTGCAGGCAGGGTACATCATCAGCATTTAACAAAAAAAGTGGGGGAGGGGTCGGTCAAAACCGCAGCAACACCTCCTCCACTACAACTCCTCTTATGCAGGGCAGGGCAGAGCAGGGGTGATGTTGAGGATAGTGTCAGGGATTTTGGATTCCTCACTATCTCAGGGAAGTGTCCACTGGCATTTTTACATAGTTGCCAACATTTGAAAAAAATTCCAGGGAAACATCTCGGCACAGCTATCAATTACTACCTTGAAAATTTACCACACCCACTGCTGCAAAGCTCTGCCTACTATGTCCAACCCAGGTAATTATTCCCAGCCTACTTATAGTGCAGATTACAGGGTCTACTCAATAAAGAGAGAATTACAGGGAACTGAGATAATAATTTTAAACTTAAGGCCAAAGTATCCACGTTGGAAAAATTCTCCTATTCAGCTGCACTATTTTGACATAAAGTTTGAAATTCCCATCGCAATTCCCTGCAATTCTCTGTTTACTAAGTAGACCTTTTATAACACCAAGCTCCCACCAACAGTACCATGCATCCTTAGTATGCGATAGATACATTCGCAGCACAGCATCTATATCAGGCAGGTACATTTTATCACTTTAATGTGAGATGGGTATCAGTGGTGACACTGTCAGTACAAAGACCTTGTGCAGATGTGCTTCAGTCAGAGAGTTGTGTCTACT